GAATGTTTCTACCACTGTAGAAAGTTAAAAGATATCCCTCAAGCAGAGGAAGAAAATTCCAGAACCATGATCTGAGATGCAAAGAGGAAGATCTAGTAAAGAAAACACTAAGTGGTTGAGTAAATGTAACCAAACATTGATGATATAAAGAATATTATATTTTAGGTCTAAAATGTCCCCCACAAGTGTCAGGTTTGTGGAAGGTGACTGGGGCACTGTGCTCATCAGTGGGTTCATTTGTGGTGAGTTCATGGCTGGAGGTGCTGTTAGAAGATGGTCTGGGTGGAGGTGGTCACTGGGGAATGACCTGGAAGGGTGTGTTCCTGTCCCCAGTTCCCCCCTTCTCTCTCCACTTCCTGGCTGCCTTGGGTTGGGCATCTTTTCCTCTGCCACACCCCCTGCCATCCTATTTCTGCCCTGGGGCTGGCGGACCATGAACTGAAACCATGAGCTAAAAAAACCTTTCCTCCTTGAAGTTGCAAGTTTCAGATGTTTTGTCCCAGCAATGGGAAAGTGGCTAAGACAGATATTAATGTCTCAGTTGGGAGGTTACAAATATAAAGTGCTAACTTATGTATACACATAAGTCAGGAAAGGAGGTGATTAGAGTTAAAGCACCCTATGATCTTTTTAGATCCATTTAAAGACTGGCCCAAGAAATAAAATTCAGCAGCCTACTGTTTACAAATGACACACATAAAACAAGGATCCAGAAAAGCTGAAAGTAATAAGATGGAAAAAGATGCATCAGACAACTGCTTCTGAAAGAAATCTGTTGGTAAACTTTACTAGAAATAGGGCCAGGGATTTAGCTCAGTGGTTTCGCTGCCTGCTGCACAAGTGCAAGGACCCAAGTTCAATCCCCGGTACCAAACAAAAAACAAACAAACAAAAAAACTTTACTAGAAATTGAAAATTTCACTGTGTGATGTTAAAGCTTCACTGGGAGGATAAAGTATTTTGAATTTGGTATATCTAAAAATGAAGCTTTGGCCGGGTATTAAGCTCAATGGTTCTGCCGCCTGCCTGCAAGCTCAAGGACCCGAGTTCGATCTCTGGTACCACAAAAAATAAAATAAAGAAAATAAAATAAAAATGAAGCTTTAAAACATAGGAAGTAAGAACTGACGACTCTAAGAAATAATTGATAAGCCCATTGTCATAGTAAGACATTTTATTTATTTTATTTTATTTTATTTTGGGGGGTTTTTTGAGACAGGTATGCTATGTAGTTTAGGGTGGCCTCAAACACTATATAGCTCAGGCTGGCCTTGAACTCATGGCAATCCTCCTGCCTCAGCCTCCTGAATGTTTGGATCACAGGCATGGGCCACCATGCCCAGCAAGACATTTTAAATATGTCAGTATTTGGTAGATCAGGCAGATACCAAGTGAGGATACAGAAATACCACAATCATCTTGATCCAATGGATTTATAGAGAACTCTGTAGTCATTAATTATATGATATGCATTATTTTCAAGTGCTTATGGAGTGTTTGTGAACATTATATTGTCTTAGTCTGTTTTCTGTTGCTATAACAACATGCCAGAGACTGGATAATTTATAGAAAATAGAAGTTTATTTGGCTCATGGTTCTGCAGTTCTTTTTTTTTTT